CATGGGGACAATGAGGAGGTTGGGGACAGATGGGATGGGGACATGGGGACAAGGGGAGGTTGGGGCCATGGGGATGGGGTGGTGGGGACATGGGGACAAGGGGAGGTTGGGGACATGGGGTGGCATCTTGGGGACAATGGGGACAGCAGGGGTGTGGGGGACGGGGGGATGGGGACCTGGGGGGGTTGGGGTCCGTGGGGCGGTGGCCTGAGCCGCTGTCCCCAGCTGGGGTCCCCCACGGCGCTGGCCGACCCCGAGACGGAGCGGCGGCTGCGGGGGGCGGCGCAGAGGGGGGGGCACACGCTCTACGTCCCCCGCGGGGCCCTGTGGGGCTGCGAGGACATTCGGCGCATGGACCAGGCGGGGACGCTGGCCGTGAGACACCACCGGGACACCGGGGACACCAGGGGACACCGGGGGGTTGGGGACACCAAGGGGGGGGACACCCCGGGGTTGGGAACACCATGGGGCTTCAGGTGCCATGGGGCTTGGGGACACCAAGGGGTTGGGGACACCATGGGACTTGGGGTGCTGTGGGGTTGGGGACGCCAAGGAGTGGGACACCGTGGGGTTGGGGGTGGAGGACACCATGGGACTTGGGGGGCTGTGGGGCTTGGGGACATTGTGGGGTTGGGGACACCAAGGGGTGGGACACTGTGGGGTTGGGGACACCAAGGGGTGGGACGCTGTGGGGTTGGAGAAACCATGGGGCTTGCGGGGCTGTGGGGCTGGGGACACCAAGAGGTGGGACACCAAGGGGTGGGACACCATGGGGTTGGGGACACCCTGGGGTTGGGGACACCAAGGGGTGGGACACTGTGAGGTTGAGGACACCTTGGGGTTGGGGACACCATGGGGCTTGGGGACACCAAGGGGTTGGGGACACCAAAGGGTGGGACGCCATGGGGTTGGGGACACCATGGGACTTGGGATGACAAGGAGTTGGGGACACTGTGGGGTTGGGGACACCATGGGATTTGTGATGACATGGGGTTGGGGACACCAAGGAGTTGGACACTGTAGGGTTGGGGACAATGCCCAGGGTTGGTGACCACCTCTGGTTTTGGGGACGTCCAAGGTTGGGGACAACCTCTGGGTCTGGGGACAACGTCCGAGGTTGGGGACCACATCAGATGTTGGGGACAGTGCGTGGGCTTGGTGACATCTGGGTTTGGGGACAGTGTCCAAGGTTGGGGACCACCTCTGGGTCTGGGGACATCAACCAAGGTTGGGGACAACGCTGGAGTTTGGGGACAGTATCTGGCCTTGATGACAACACCAGGGTTTGGGGACAGCGTCCAAGGGTGGGGACCACACTGGAGGTTGGGACCCATGTCCAGATCTGGGGACATCAGCCAAGGTTGGGGACCACCTCAGGGTTTAGGGACATCAGGCAAGGTTGGGGACCACCTCTGGTTTTGGGGATAACGTCCAAGGTTGGGGACCACCTCTGGGTCTGGGGACATCAACCAAGGTTGGGGACAACGCTGGAGTTTGGGGACAGTATCTGGCCTTGATGACAACACCAGGGTTTGGGGACAGCGTCCAAGGGTGGGGACCACACTGGAGGTTGGGACCCATGTCCAGATCTGGGGACATCAGCCAAGGTTGGGGACCACCTCAGGGTTTAGGGACATCAGGCAAGGTTGGGGACCACCTCTGGTTTTGGGGATAACGTCCAAGGTTGGGGACCACCTCTGGGTCTGGGGACAGTGTCCAAGGTTGGGGACAGCACATGGTCTTGGTGACATCACCCTTTGGTGCCCACACCTGGTGCCAGTTCCCAACCTTGGTGACACCACCCATGCCATCACCACCCCCTTTTTCCCCCCCAAGTCTCTGAAGGTGACGATGACGAAGGCCCCCCAGAGCTTCCGCCTGGAGGGGTGGCTCCAGGAGCGGCTGGTGGCCGCGGTGGCCAGTGGTGGCCGCGTTGTCCTCTACGAGGGTCCCCTTCGTCCCCTCTGTCCCCTGGCCCCCAACAATGTCAACACCATGGCCGCCGCCGCGGTGGCCGCCCCCTCCCTGGGCTTCGACGGTGTCCAGGCCTGCTTGGTGGCCGACCCCAGGTGGGTGAGATGCCACCAACCCCCCCAGGATGTCCCCCCCGAGGTGTCCCCACCGCCCCGTGGTGTCCCCCCCGCAGTGTCCCCGACTGGCACATCGTGGAGGTGGAGGTGACCAGCAAGGAGGAGGATGGTCGGGCTTTGAAGGTCACCAGCACCCGGCGCAACCCGGCCCCCCGGGGGGCTGTCACCGGCCGGGCCACCCGCCACACCTTCTGGAGCAGCCTGAGGGGTGGGGACACGGGCCACCCCCCCCCC